CCACCCACGGCCCCCCAGCGTCCCACAGGTGTTGGCCACAGCCGTGGGTCATGGGGGCAGGTGCTCTGGCCATCCTGGGACCGCTCTCTCGGAGGACCGCAGGGGTGGGCGGGCTCCGGTCAGGTGTGCAGTTTGTCGCTGACACCAGTTCTCTGTCTGAAACAGGAGCCCTCAGGGGCCTGGCTGCGCATCTGCCACGGGCCCTCGTCAGCACTCGGACAACGTCTGAGAGGACAACGTGCTGAGAACTGACTGGAAGCCATAGTGGGTTTGGTGAGGAAACTGCTCGCGGGGGCGTCCAACTTTGCCACGAGGAAGCAGCCTGCAGTGAAGGGCGGGACAGCCAGGCAGTGGCAGGGCAGTCGCGAAGCTGGGCCTGCCCGCTCGCGCCACATGTTCTGTGAGCTTGGAGACCGGCCCACACCGCGGATCAAAGCGTGACAAGGACCGAGCAAGACGGGGAACACTCTGCCCTCAGGGGTGGCGCTTAACAAACCCGGGGTGCGACATCGGGCATGGAGCGGGAGACCGAGGCCCCCGAGTGGGTGGCCTCGGACCAGAGGAAGAGACGGCCTGAGCGGAGCGGGGGCTGGCGTGGGAGGGTCCGCATGCAGGGGACGCGGCCGGACTGGGCCGTGGGGCCATAGCTGCCACCCAGACAGAGGGGACGAGGGTGTGGGAGGCCGGGGAGAGCTGCAGACACAGCAGAGTTCTGGACTGCGGAACCACAGGATCCCTTTAAGCTCAAGCCTAGCCCCTGCGGCCCTCTGTGGCAGCAGGGGTGGCACATGCGCTGCCCTCCGCCAGGCGCTGCTCTGAGGCCCCGCCTGGCTGGTGGTTTTGCACGAAGCATCTGCTAAGAGATGGGCCTCGGAAGACTGCGTGGTGCCAGAGGCACGTCCACGTGAACAGCAAAGGCCCCCTGGGACCAAGGCTGTGGCGGGAGGGACGCTGAGGCAGACGGGTTCGGGGGCGCCCTCGGGGGCTGCAGCGGCGGGCAGCGTGGCTCCAGCGCATGAGCCGGCTGCTGGCCTCCCCTGCAGCCCCGCAGGGCCAGCCGCCCCGTCCCGGCTGCTTACTTTGTTCTGTTTTGCCCCGAATGGTATTACCTTGATAAAGTGTAAAAGAGAGTTTCTTAAACAAAAGTAACAAGTTAGGCTTTACATGCCACCGTGTGAAGAGTGTTCCGTGGAGAAGCAGATGCCCGCTCAGGGGAGGTGAGAAGCGCGGGCGCAGCCAGGCGGCTGCAGGAGCACGTGAGCCCCACGCTCTTTCCTGCCGTTCAAGTCACTTCATTAAGTCCACGTGCTCTTTACATAATGACAGTAATGAGATTAAGTTTAATTTAGAAAGATGTTGAGGCTGCCAGCCATGGTTTCCTGGAACGTGCAGGGGCCTAGACCAACAGCACTGGCAGGCTGGGCCCTCCCACCTCTGCTGATGGAGTCTGGGTGTGTCGTCCCCCTAAAGCTCGTGTGGAAATCTGGTCCCCAACGTGGCAGTGCTGGAAACAGTTTGAGTCATGGGGCAGATCCCTCATGGATGGATTCATGCTCTCCCTGGGGGAGGGGAGATTGATGAGTGAGTTCTCACTCTATTAGTTCCCGCGAGAGTTCGTTGCTTAAAAAGACCCTGGCACCTTCTCTCTCTCTCTCGCTTCCTCTCGCCATGTGATCTCCTTGTACCCACCGGCTGCTGCCACTTTTCACCATGAGTAGAAGCAGCCTGAGGCCCATGCCAGACTCAGCTATCCCAGAATCGTGAGCCAAATAAACCTCTTTTCCTTTATAAATTACCCAGTCTCAGGTATTCTGTTATAGCAACTCAAAATGGACTAAAACACCTGCCCAGTGCAGGAGGCTGTGGCTCCGCTCCCCTCGCAGGTGGAGGCCAACCCCTGCCCCCCACTGCCTTCCTGCCCCACAGTTTCTGGAGGTGAGTCTGACCCCCTGAAAGCAAACCGTCATACCCCTTCCCAGCTGCACTGCCGTGCTCATCTGTGTACAGAAGCAAAATCACTCAGCAAAAGAGGCTCCAGAAAGACAAACTGCCCACCCAGGGCAGCGGTACAGGGTCAACCCAGGTGCGTGCCCTGTGTACCCAGGTGTGTGCCCTGCAGTCCCAGGTGTGTATCCTGCGTCCCCGGGTGTGTGCCCTGCTGCACTCCTGGGTGTGTGCCCTGCACTCCCGGTTTGTGTGCTGAGCCTCTGGGGGCCTCTGGGGGCCCCTGGGCAGAAGGGATGCACCACACCCTCTCCCAGGCAGTGAGTTCCTCTGGCCTGCTTGGACCAAGGAGCCCACCACCAGCAGATGCCCCTTACTTGGCCATACCCTGTCTCCAGCTGTGCCCCTCTGCAGCAAAGGCAGGAGAGATGGGGGATGTGGAGCCAGAGCAGGACACGAGCCATCAGCCCAGGCCAGGGCCTGCTGGGAGGCTCAGCACATCTGTCCCTCGCCATTCTCCCCAGGGGCTCGCTGTGGGGTTAGGAGGATGGGAACTGATAAACTTACCCACTGGGTGCAGGACAGACTGTGTTACCTTATTTGCATTTTCAAAGGAGAGCTTGGAGAGGGCAGGAGGAGGCAGAAGATGGAATTTCAGACCTCAGAGTGGGAGGAGACTCAGGGGCAGCTGCCCTGGGGAAACAAAGTCCCCATCTGTGTCCCCTCCGGGCCTGGGGATGCCTGTTCCTCCTGCACCTGCCAGTTCTATGGACTGCTTTCTCTGGACAACCCCTGCCTCCTAGCCAGCACCCCACGGGCTGTCCCTGCCCCAAATAGGCCCTCGTGCAACAACTTGGCCCCATTTGTCAGAATGAATCTCCCTGAAAACTTCGTTAACTTGACTGCCTGAAGAAACACCCAGTGAATCACGAACAAAGGACAAACCTGACCAGCCGGGGCCACACCTGCCCAGGAGCTCAGAGCACAGCCCCTGTCTAGGTGTCAGTGAGGTGTCTGTGCACAGGCCCAAGTGCTCCAGGCAGGACCAGGTGCCTGTAACTAGGACCGGGTACCTGTAACTAGGACCATGTGCCTGGAACTAGGAACAGTAGCTAGGACCATGTGCCTGTAACTAGGACCAGATGCCTATCACTAGAACCATGTGCCTGGAACT